CCCCTGACACACCCAAACCCTAAACCCTAAACCCTAAACCCTAATCGTGAGGGTTTGATGCGCACGCAGGACTTACGCCCTGCTCCCGCTGTCTCAATTGTAGAGACAGACATTGAAGTGGAGTTCAAAGCGCCAGAGGCCGAGCAAAACCCTAAACCCTCACAAGATACACCCGAAGGTAACCTAAACCCTAAACCCTAAACCCTCACAGGATACACCCGAAGGTAGCCTAAACCATAAACCCTAATCCCTAAACCCTAAACCCTCACAAGATACACCCGAAGGTGTCCTAAACCCTAAGTCATAAACTAAAGGAGGACGAGAAATCTGCAGCTACGGGCGCAACGGATGTTGCTGCTGCTGCTGCTGCTGCTGCTGCTGCTGCTGCTGCTGTACGCTCTGCTGCTGCTACTGTACGTGCTGCTGCTGCTTGCAGACGGGGGATACATCAGCAGCGACGAGGCATCCGAATCCAATGGGGAGGAGAGCGTGAGCTTAGGGTTGAGGGTTTAGGGTTTAGGGGTGTTAGCTTTAAAGTACTGTGTAGGGTCCAGCCGGGCGAGTTACGGGTTTAGGGTTTAGGGTTTAGGGTTTAGGCTTTCTGAGGTTTTGTTTTATCAGCGCTTCGTGGGGGAGGGACGCCGCCTAGATGGAAGACCGCTGCGCAGCAGCAGCAGCAGTAGCAGCAGCAGCAGCAGCAGCAGCAGCAGCAGCAAGGAGACGGAAGAGGCGAAGCTGCTGCGGCGTAAGCCGTGGTTGGGAAAGTTGCCTCACGGTGTCCGGGTAAACCCTAAACCCTAAACCCTAAACCCTAAACCCTAAGTTCTACGCCCTAGCCTATAGGTGGTTCGCAGCAGGGTTGAGGGGCAGGCGCAGCAGCAGCCGTAAACCCTAAACCCTAAACCCTAAACCCTCGGGGTTTGTGTGTTTTGCTGCTGCAGCGGGAATGTGCTGCTTATGAAGCCTTAGTTCGGTCGGGGCGGATCCCAGGGGTAGTAGGGAAGGTTTCTGCTGCTGCTGCTACTGCTGCTGCTGCTGCTGCAGCAGCAGCAGCAGCAGCAAAGCCGCCAGCTAACAGCGGGGATGGAGACTTTCAGCTTTTTGGAGGCACAGGAAATAGACTAGAGTAGAGCAGCAGCAGCAGCAGCTGTTGCTGCTGCTGCTGCTGCACGACCTGCAGAAGCAAGGGCCGCAATAGCAGCACCTGCAGCAGCAGCAACAGCAGCAACAGCAGCACTTGAAGCAACAACAGTAGCGCATGCAGCAGCAACAAAAACCCCAACAGCCGCAGCAGCAGCATCAGCTGCAGCAGCAGCCTCAGCAGCAGATGCAGCAGCAGCAGATGCAGCAGCATCAGCTGCAGCAGAAGCAACAGCACCGCAATTACGCGGAGAGATGTGTTTTTTCTTGTGCCTGCTGCTGCCTCACCAAACCCTAAACCCTCATCCACGTTTAAGCCTAATTGCTAGGGTTTAGGGTATAGGGTTTAGGGTTTAGGAATAGGGTTTAAACAACATTAACAGACTGCAAACCCCGAGCCTTTGGATCTCACAACCGCCTGCTTACTCCCTAGTGTTTAGTGTTTAGTGCTTAGGGTTTAGGGTTTACGGATTAGGGTTTAGGGCTTTCGGGTACCTCTAGGGCCCCCAGGGCCCCCAAGGGCCCCCAGCAAAGGGGCCCCCAGGGTACCTGAGGGGGGCCCCAAGGGTACTTCAGGGGGCCCCCAGGGTACTTCATGAGGCCCCCAGGGCACCCATAGGGGCCCCCAAGGTTAGGTATTGAGGGGGGCCCCTTGGGGCCCCCAAGACTGCTAAACCCGAACGACTGCGAGTCAAAGTAATACAAGTTGGGGCCCCCCATAGAGAACATCTTCTTACCTAAAGGGCCCCATGGGGGGCCCCAAAGGGGCCCCTAAAGAAGAAGCCCTCAGAATGGGGGCCCCTTGGGGGGCCCTTATTATGGGGGCCCCTATTATGGGGTGCTCTATTATGGGGGCCCCCATTATGGGGGCCCCCAATATGTGGGCCCCTATTAGCCGCTATTATGTGGACCCCTATTATGGGGGCCCCTTGGGGGGCCCCTATTATGAGGGCCCCTATTATGGGGCCCTTATTACTGGGGCCCCTACTATTGGGGCCCCAATAAGCTCCCGTTATGGGGGCCCCTATTATAGGGGGCCCTATTATGGGGGCCCCTTGGGGGGCCCCTATTATGGGGGCCCCTTGGGGGGCCTTTATTATGGGGGCCCCTTGGGGGACCCATATTATGGGGGCCCCTTGGGGGGTCCCCTTGGGGGCCCGCTTGGGGGGCCCCCCTGGGGGCCCCCATATCGATGCTGTTGCGGTGTTGATTTGGTTGTGGGTTCTTTTTTTTTAATTGTTTAAATTGTTTAATTTTTTGTTTTTGTTTTGTTTATTTGTTTTTCTTTTTGTTTTTTTGCTGCGGCTCTCTTCCCTCGCGCACTGCTGCTGCTGCTGCTGCAGAAGGCAGCTGCAGCAGCAGCAGCTACAGAAGGCAGCAGCAGCATCAGCAGCAACAGCAGCAGCAGCAGGAAGAGTAATACATATCTCTATGGACTAGCCCTCCCCCCCCAGGGTGAGAGTCAGGTGTTTAGGGTTTAGGGTTTAGGGTTTGCGGCTTAGGGTTTTCTAAAGCTGAGGGTTTAGGGATTAGGGTTTAGGGTTTAGGGTTTAGGGTTTAGAGGATGGAAGGGCTTCGCCTGCTTAAGGGGCACCGCGACTCTGTGTTATCGCTAGATGTATATTCTCCTTTTGCTGCTGCAGCAAGCTGCTGCTGCTGCTGCTGCTGCGGCTCCTACGTAGCCCCTCCTCACTCACAAGCAGCAGGTAGTCCCAGCAGCAGCAACAGCACCTCCAGCAACAGCAGTAGCAGCAGCAGCACCAGCACCAGCAACAGCAGTAGCTGCAGCAGCAGCAGCAGCAGCAGCAGCAGCAGCATTTTGCTGCTGAGCAGCAGCGAGGACAGGACTGTGCGTCTATGGGATATGCGGCTGCAGCAAGCAGCAGTTTGTCTAAATTTAGCAGCAGCAGGAGACGTTGGAGCAGCAAAGTTTATTAGGGGAGGTGGTGGGGTTGTTGTTGCTGCTGCATGCGGCAGCAGCCTCCTGACCTTCGATCTCAGACAAACCCAGCAACCCCTCTTGCTGCACCAGCAGCAACAACAGCAGCAGCAGCAGCAGCAGCAGCAGCAGCAGCTGGATATACACCCGACAGTAGTGGACCTCAAGGCTCTCCTCCAAGGAAGAGAAACAGGACCAGGAGCAGCAGCAGCAGCAGCAGCATCAGCTGCTGCTGCTGCTGCTGATGATGATTCAGACGAGGACGAGGAGTGGGCTATTAACGATTTTGATGTGTGGAGGCCTCCTGCTTCTCTGCTGCAGCAGCTGCTGCAGCGCAGCAACAGCAGCAGCAGCAACGGCAGCAGCAGAGGCAGCAGCAGAGGCAGCAGCAGCAAAAACTCAAACAGCAGCAAGAAACCAGCAGCAACATCAGCAGCAGCAGCAGCAGAAGGCTCTGCTGCTGACAGTACACTCATCGCCTTACCAACAGACAGTGGGGAGGTGCTGCTGCTGCTGCAGCAACAGCAGCAGCAACAGGACCAGCAGCAGCAGCAGCAACAGGAGGACCATCAGCAGCAGCAGCAGCAGCAGCAGCAGACGAAGCTTTTTTATCTACCTGGGGCCCCACAGCACCGCACAATATGCGGCATTGCGCGACTCAGAAAGCATAAAGCCCCTGACCTCCTCACTGGCGGGTATGCTGCTGCTGCTGCTGCTGCTGATACTGCTTTAGCTGCTGTTCCTGCTGCTGCTTTAGCTGGTGTAGTTGCTGCTGCTGCTGCTGCTTTAGTTGCTGCTGATGCGGCTGGTTCTGTCGTTGTTGCTGCTGGTTCTGTTGTTGCTGCTGCTGTGGAAGCAATGCAGGTGCTGCTGCTGC